TATTATTATTATATTTATTATTATTATTATTATTATTAACTGCAAATTCCGAAAACATGAAATTTTGTAAAATCGTTTATTTTTTTTCTGGCTTTATTTGAAAACGAGTTGTAAATGAATAGCATATTTACATTGCCACTTTTTTCGCTCTATACAATGGCGTCAACATTTTTGCAATCCCACGTTTCGTCTTCGACGGGCCATCATCAGATTATTTTTTTTAAATATAGCGCTGCTATTTTTATGACAAAATCTAGTTTTTTAATTTTGTATTAGATGATATTACTATTGTAATCGCTTAAAAAGGTTTTCAGCTAATTTTTCCTGAGTACAGCTCTGAACACTTTCAAAATACCTGTATCTATTGGAGGAGAGAGAGAGAGAGAGAGCGAGAGAGGAGAGAATAAAAGTCAATACAGCACAAAATATCCAACATTTTTTTTAATCCATAATATGAAATATTTTATTATTTCTAATTAGTATTGCTAACAGTAGTAAAAAATTGTTGGATATAAATAGCAGCGACGTATTTAAAAAAATTTAGCCGATGATGGCTCCTCGAAGACGAAATGTCGGATTGCAAAAATGTTGACGCCATTGTATAGAGCGAAAAAAGTGGCATTGTAAACATGTAATTTATTCTAAAATTCGTTTTCAAATAAAGCCAGAAAAAAATTAAACAATTTTGCAAAATTTCGGGTTTTTCCGGATATCTCCAGAACTACCCAGAATTTTACTTTTTTTTTTTAATCTGAGCCACCCCGTATCTTTTACCGTTTCCTAGATCCTAATGCTATCCCATCCTTACCTTGGACACACTATGAATTCATCAAACTTTAAAAAAAATAAGTACACTAATCGATCCTACGGAAAAAAAATTAATATTTATTTTATTTATTAATCGACTATTATCGATTATCGATTATCGACTAATAATCGATATTCGATTATTATTTATAATTCGACTTATGTTTATAGCAATACTGTATAAAAATAGTTTTGGTGAAACAATGAGTTTTTTTTATTTTTTCCGTAGAATTGAATGGTGTAATCAGTTTTGAATGTTTTTTAATTTAAACAGATTATCAACAATAACTGAAAAATTAATTGTGGCAAGTCATTTTTTACTTTTTTGCATTTTTGAGCATGTTTTTGAGCTGTGATTACAAATTTTTTTATTTCACCAAAAAGTATATGTCAAGACGAAAAAAATGATTACCGGCAGAATTCTGTATGATGATTTTTTTAAATAGAATTTTTCTTTGAAAAAAAAGTGTTTCAGGCCGAAAAAATGAATATCTCAGAAACTTCTTGATTTTTTTATCTAAAAAAAAATGAGGTTATTTAAAATAGAGAAAGGTATACTTTCAGTAAGTTTCGTCAAAATTAAATTATTTTTGCGGAAATGAGAAATAAAAAACGAAAAATCAGAAAAAAACTGTTTTTCGCATATTTCTCGGAAATTTTGAGGTTATGGTAAAAAGTGACCTCTACAAAAGTTGTATATTTTTGCATGATTTACAACTTTTGTATTGGATACTTTTTTGTTTGACATCAACTTTCGCCAGAAATCCCACCAATACAATTTTTCATAACTTTTCAACCCCCTATATCCTCGGCCCCCCTGCTCACGCATTTATTTTTTTTCGTTTATCATAAGCCCCTTTACCATTTCCACTTATAAAAGTCCAGGTAACAATTTTCTTTTTTTTTCCTCTAAATGAGTTCTTTTCATCAGTCTATAGTGAAGAAAAGAGAATACAGACTTTATGTCTTAGCCATGATAAAGGCCTCAATGCGATTAAACACAGAGCTTATTGTCTAACCTGTTGAATTTAAAAATATCGAAAGTACCTACTGAAAGTACGGAATAATTCTTATGTAAGGCTTATTCGATTCGGCAAATTCTATTTCGAAATATGTTAACTATGGGTTCAGTCAACGAACTCATTAAAGCGCACCAGAGACTTTTTGAAAGGTCGTGTTTTTTATGTGTATCTTCAGGAGCCATATTGGAACTACTACGAAAGGGTTAGAGAAGTATTTACTATACGGCTTAACGGTAACTTTTGTAAATAACAGATCAATCGGACATAATAATCAACTTTAATTTATTTACTGTAATAGATTATGTAAGCGATTTTATTGATATTGACTTTATAACTCAACCAGAAAAAATGTCATTTTGGTGATTTGGAATATTTTTTACTTCAACGATTTGAAGTATTTTTAAGGTTAGGGACGAACAGTGACCAGATGGGGTTTAACGAAAATAGAATTCGATATCAGCAACCCAAAAATGTGTAGTTATGGTGATTCAGTCTACTATACAGTATTTTAATGTTTCTTATCTATCAATATTACTCATTAAACAGAATTTTCCATGATTGCGGCCGCCATATTGGAACCGCCATTGAAATCACCAGATGGGTTTTGATAGAGCTTTTAAATATGAACCTTTTGACACGTCTAACATTAATGACTTTTTATCCTTGGCAGCCCACTGTGCCCGTTGACGTGAAACGTCCGATATACATATACATATATTGTCTCAGTGATATATCTAAAACTACATGTGTTTCTATAGAGTTTGGGGAAAAACAGAAATGTTTGTGAATCCCTTAAAATTATTATGTTAATAGAAATTTGAGAATAATGTATGATAATTTACTTACTTTCTACACTTTTTTTAATTTGATGGATTTCATTGAAAATGTGTTTTTACAGTCCATGCTACAATATATTTAGAAAATTATATTTGTTATTTTGTAATTAAGCAAAGGTAATTACTATTTATGAATAAAAGTAATAATTACTTGAACAAAAATATTTTTTAAAATAATTATTAACTATTTTAATATGCTATAATGCTTTCCAAATTTTCACTCATGATTGTAGAAATTGATTCTTATTGTACTGAGTTGTCCATCTATTATTTTTTCTATATTGATCATGAATCAAGTCAAAAATACATTTTGGGAGCTTGTCATGAATATAACTTAAATCTATGTTTATAACTTCATTCGCCGCCAATTCTACTAATATGGACGGTCTCCAACAATTTTTATTTACACAAAAAGTCGTTCTGGTGTTACTTACATCTCTTCTTCATTTTTTCTTCATGTGAATAAGAAAACAAAGATAACTTCTGTTTTAGGAAATTTAATACAGAAAGCATTGTTTTTACTGAGATTAAGTCAATAAGTTAATGGAATTTTTTATTAAAAATGCTTGTATTACTATTTTTATTAATTTCTAAATCTTAATATTTATAAAATATATTTCATACTTTATAAGTAAATTCTGTCAATAGATTTGTTACCTTCAAATTTTCATTATAAATTAGAGATATAAAAGAGATTATAAATTAGAGATATGTTGTTCTTTTACTATACTTACATTTAAATGGAAAAAATATTATTAATAAATAAATTGCACCCTTGGACTTTGATTGTTTAAAAGCCTTAATCTCCCCTTTATAAATAAGAGAGCGACTTTTTTCATTTGAATTCATTTTTTTGTTACTTTATCTGTCAGTGAATTCGAGTTTTTTTTTGTGGAGAAGCAGTTATAACTATACATTTTCCATCGAAAAGTATAATAAGTACCGATTTACCAAATCGAGTTTTTATTGATTTCAACTCAGATTAACATACTTATCTTTCAAATTTTGATATCGATGAATTGATTTCTTGAACCAAATCGTCCATTTCGTATTTAATGAAAAAATATGAATGAATAAAAAAAAATTAAAATGAACAATTTTAAGACAAAACATTTTTTAAATGGACAAATTGATGTAAATAAATTAATAATGGAAATACTCACATAAATTGTTGCACTATGCGCACTAACTATGTTAGTTTATAGAATAAATACACACATATATAAACTGACTTTAAACTGACTATTGGAAAATAATACACTTTCGGGTATATATAAGAATATATCCCCTCCAAATAACGTTGACTACAGTTGACTATTCTCCACACATTATCATTTTTATGTTACGGATTGGAAAAATAAACTCAAACTATAAAGTAGGCATTTATTACAATTTGACGATCAATAAAATTTTAGAAAGCTTTTAGCCCTTAAATTAAATTTATAAAATTACTTTTTTCTTCTTTAAAAATATTCCTTTAATTATCAAAGTCCTAGGTACTGAACTATATAAATTAAGGCCTTTATCCATATTATGAAATGTACATGTAAAAATAAAAATACTCAATTGTCTTTCAGATTAAAAACAATTAAGTGAGAAAAAGTATTAGAAGAAATTTGGATTTTTAAATTCTCACAAATCTCATTAAATGATACAATGTAATATAATTCGTTCAATTTACATATTCCCGAATACTCTAAGCAATAAAGTTATACTAATTATTTCAGTTTAAGTGGACCGGAATCTCAGCACATAATAAAATTTTACGATTTCAACTCTCATGGCTTATAGGGCATATGAATGACTATAATAGATAAATAATAGATAATTTATAATAAATAAAGATCATTTAATTCGTTAACTCACTTAATTTACATTCTAAACAATCAAAATTATAGCAATTGTTCCAGTTTGTTATACATAAAGTATAAAGTTTTACGATTTCATCTTTCGTTTTATATAAATATATAACAAAATAAATAAAGACCATTAACGATCTAATATATTAAATTGTCTCTGACACGAGTAATTGATATATCTGTTATCAAGTAATCTGCAAATAATACATTGCGTAAAAATATATTAGCGTCTCATATGATAATTTGCAATCAATCACCTGTCATCATTACCCGTAACGTAATAACCTGTGACGTCGGAGGATGAGGATGAGGAGCCGGAATCGGCCAAAGCCATCTACTATCATTCCAGTTGATTACTTATATAACAGTATCAATTAAAAATTTAAGGGAACATAAAAAAATAGATGTGTATTATTTAATTGTTTGTAACATTTTTAATATATTCAGATTATATATTCAGCAGGCTTTAGAAGTACAAAATAATTTAGATCAGTACAGTTTAGTAACAGTATCAGAAAATATACATGATACAGTTGATAATTTAGTAAAAAAATATGGTTTTTTCTTCTGATTTAGGTACTGGAGGGTACAGCTACACTTGGATAAAAATACCAAACCAATTTTCTTTAAGGCTAGACCAATTCCATATGGTACAAGAAAAAAGGTTGAGGCTGAGATTCAGAGGTTAGACGAAGCAAAAATTTTAGATCCAGTTGATTATTCAGAATGAGGTATACCGATAGTATCCGTATACAAAAAAATGGTACCATCCGCATCTGTGGAAATTATAAGGTAACCTTAAATCCTGTTTTATTAATCGATCAGTATCATTTGCTGCATATAGAGGATTTATTTATGTACGGGCATAATGCCAGTATTTATAGTCGATACATCATTTGAACTCAGACTTGAGCACGACTTAAGCAGTTGGATATAATAGTCCGTACTTCGTCGGTGAGCACGACTCCATGTGATATTGGCAACGCCTCATACTCAAGTTCGGCAGAAAATGACCTTGAGGCATGCTCGGTTAAGTTTGACGTAACAAATTTGGGATTATTTTTTGAAATTACAAACACACATTAAGTGTAATTTATGAATCGTGAAGACAATTTGGATTGTGGAGAGAAATGCCGAAAAGGTATATTCGCGATGCTTAAAATCCGATCCGAAATTTATATTGAAAATAATGAACTTGGCTTATTGTTTTGTGCAGACTTCATAAACCAACATTTTAAAATTAAAATGTACAATTTTAATAAAGTTTTCATATGATTTTATATTTAGTACTTATAATGTTTCTATGTTTATAACTATTATTAATTCGTAAAGATACACAAATTTATTTTTGTTGACTATTTTTTAGTATTTAATTTTAAAATATTGTGTTAATTAGGCATTATAAATAATATAATAAATATGAGGCATAATAAAATGCTAATTTAAATTTTATCTTTTACAAATTTTTTTGTTTTTTTAAAAATTTGCAATTTTAGAAAAGCTATCTCTTCTTTTGCTTTTTGTTTTCTTGATGTGGTAGAATGTGCTTAATGTGCTTTATTTTCATTTTTATTTCATGTAATTATGCCTGTTGTGCAATGGCTTCCCTCATTTTTCTTAAACGGAGATTACATTACAATAATTTTAAGTAAAAAAAGACATCTCAATTACTGTGGGGGGGGGTTGTTAGGTAAAAATAACAAGGCAGGGTGTTTCACCGTGGGACGACAAGAAAGAACTGACTGTTTTTGCCTCCCGATCTCGGTCCTCTCGAGGTAGGCCTAGAGGAAAACCCGCGGTGTTAGGGCTCCCTGGGCTGAGCTGTAATATTGTGAATTATTTCATTTCATTGCTTTAATTGCTTTTATAACCCCAATGTTGTAAATACTGAGGGAAAACCAGAATATGTGTGACCGCCGAATTTCAGATGAAATGTCACTGAAGGCAAATGTCATCGACCAACTTAAGAAACAGAAAATTCCCATATTTATCGGTCAACGTACTACATCAAAATTAAAGTTACTAAAGTGGAACTGAAACAACCAAACTTCGCCGAGTTTTGCCGAAGTATCCATTATAAAACTTAAGCTGTACTTGAGGTCAGAGCATGACTTGGGTAAGTCGTTCTCAAGATTGAGATTGAGTACCGACTGTAGGTACGGGCATTAGTCAGCAGCGAGGACAGGAATTTACCAAACGCGATCTCTCTCAGGCTTACCAACAAATTATGTTGGATGAGAAATTTTGTAGATACATCACTACTAGTTCGCATAAGGAGTTATTTACATATAAACGGATAAACGGTTGCCATATGGGTTGCTCTTGAATTCATTATTTATTTCGTTGATGATGTATTGATTACAGGTAGACAGCATTTAGCAAGAGTTGAACAGATTCTAGAAACGTTACAACAATTTGGATTAACAATTGTAAAATAAAAATGTGAGTTTTTTAATGTTCAGTTGTATACTTATGTCACAAAATAGATAAAAGAGAGTTGTAACAAGAATAAAATATAAACAATAAAAGTCATACCCCACCAACGTTATACAATTTTAAGACTTATGAATTATTATATTAAATTTATTCCTAATAGTTCGACATTATTAAAATCTATACAGAGTATTAACCCCCTTGGTTACGCGAAATTTTGATAAAAATGGCAAATTTATCTTTAATAAAGTTAAACAAATTTTAGTTTCATAGACAGACAATTTTACCAATCAAATTATTTGTTGATACTTCGTCATACAGAGTTCGTTGCATATTATCCCATACGTACCCAAATAATAAAAGACCAATAGCAATGGTTTTCATACATTGTATAAAGTACAAAAAAGTTATAGTCGAATAGATAGAGAAGGATTAGCGATTATTTTTGGGATAAAGCGTTTTAATCAATTCTTACATTTAAAAGAGTTTACTTTATTTACCGTAAAATGTTGTTGATTATCTTTATATATACCGTGCTTTCACGGGAAAACACTACATAGGAGGTGCGTCGGTCAAACTCGTGCGGCTTCAGCGGTGGGGATGTCGATCTCAGTGTGCGCAGCCATGCGGCGCTGTGGCGTACGTAATCACATCTCACATTAGTCAGGTTGCAGCACCCAGCGCTCCCCACCCTTCCGAATTTACGAACTCGAACGAAGCTAATTCCCTATGTAGCGTTGTACGGTGAAAGCACGGTATAATTCTTCTGTGCGTGTGTATGTCACTGAACTCCTCCTAAACGGTTGGGCCGATTTTGATGAAATTTTTTGTGTGTGTTCAAGTGGATTCGAGAATGGTTCAGATTTACAATTCGGTCCAATTGGGGGCGGCGTTTAGGCGGTAGCGGGGGCGGCCAATATCGGACGGCGGCGTAGCGGCGAAACGACCCCGGAATCGGAGTCAGGGGGTCGATTTACGTACGGCCCGACTGTCGCGAGCCTCCTACCGCTTCTGGTGGCGGCGGGGCGGAATCCCGTGTTTTCGGGTATGACCCGGTTTCCAGCTTGGGAACGGGACGTCGTAGAGAGGCGCGGTTTACGCCGTCGCGTCGTACGCGCAAAAGATGGGGCTATCGGAGAGCTCCTATGGTCCGACCTCGAAATCCTCAAGGTTAACCCGGTCGAGCTGCGTGTAGAGTTGCAGGAAGGCGAAATTATGCGCAGAAGGGTCGAGGGTGTAGAGGGACATAAAGCGTCCGTGCTCACCTGGACTGGTTTTTATGCGCCTGCGCATAAATTTGCTACGGTGCAAGTCGTACGTTTTGCACGACTGAGGGAGAAAAACGACATAAGGCCGTATGCGCGGCACCGAGGCGGGCTCGGAACTGCCATAAAAAGTGGGGCTCATGATACCGGAATCGGTCGGAATCTCTGCGCGGTAGGTTGTGGTACGACCTAGGGCTGCGCGTGGGGGTTCCTTCGGTAGAGGGTCTGTGCCCCTCCTTGCTCGACCGCGCGGAATTCTGTGCGCCTTCGCGTTTCCGAGTTATGCGTCGAAATGCGAACGGCTATAGGTGGGGCGACGTTCGACGCACCGCTGTATTCCGGACAGGACGACGGTTCGATTTACCTCTATAGGTGGATCGGTTACGACGCTGCGCAGGACGTAAAAGTCGCCGTGCGCTTCGGCGGTATGTGCTACGGATGCGCACGGGGCGTTGTCGGATACAACGGGGCGGGCGGATTCTGTGAAAAAAAAATTCTGCGCATGCGCAAACACTTTATAGCGATTTCCGACCGAACCGTAGTTGCTACGGACTTGCGCTTCGTCGCGTGTGTGATCCACGTCGATTTTGGTGAAAATCCATTGATTTTTTTTGCATTTGACCCAACCCCATTTTCGTGGGGTCGGGTCGAGACCGTCAAATGAAATTCCTCCGTGGTTTGCCAAAGACGTCTATGGGGTCGATTAGGTCGATTTTTTTATATATCATCCCGTTTCCGAACGTAAGAAAACCTACGTCGTGCTAATAAATATTTTCATCAAAACGGTCCAGATTGTTACAGCTTATTCAAAAAAGTTTGAAATTTTCGAATTAAAGACGTGTGTACACGACAACGTCTGTCGGGTTCGCTAGTATTTGGTAAAAATGAGAGTATTTCACAAATGACTGTAAATCGGTTATAGAAACGGACATTAATGCCATCAGTTATAATTATAATATTAAACTTACAAAATCACAAGATAAAGCAGATTTTATATCTAGATTGCTGGAAAGTGATTTTTTAATTGTAAATTTATTCATTCGTATGTACTTAAATTTTGTTACTGATAATTTAGACACAGAGAAACAGAAAATGATCCGTTACTTCAAGAAGTAAAAGTGTCTATTAAAAATGGTTGGCCTAAGAGAGATTTGAGTAATGCTAAACTGAATTTTCATTTTAAGCATAAATTAAGCCTTGAAAATTATATAATGTGTGGATATAGAGTAGTAATACCTCTGAGTCTCAGACAATATCTAAATGAATTACACATTCAAAAGGGGGCCGTGAAAATAGAAAGCGTTGTTAGGTCGTACTTCAAACAAATCAATACATTGGAAATTTAGTTAAGATTTGTAACGCTTCATTAATAACGTTGCGTTTTCCAAATCATTGTTGGAAAGATTACACCTTGATATATTTATGTCTATTATTCGGCAAATATGTATATCTTAGTCATTCCAGATGCTTATGATAAATGGGTTGCAGAGTTTGTAACAAGTAATATTATTTCTGAAAGAGTCATAAATAATTTAAGTAGGTACTACTTTTGCTAGATTTGGGCTAAGTAAATATTTAGTTTTAGAATGACTCCAATATTTACGTAAAAACGATATTAAATTCGAGCATACCTCCTTTTTCTTCAGCAAAACTGGTGCTTCCAAAATTACAGTTAAATATTTAAAAAATGCTATTAAACCTTGCAATGTTCAAGGTAAAATAAATTTGCAAATTATATTAAATAAAATACTATATATAATTAAATAAAATGTTGTAACATCAAACATGTTATAACTAATTATTCAGCATTTGTTATTAGGAAAAAATTTAAGAACAATATTAGATCTAATTAAAGAAAATAATGAGATATAGATATGTTAAGGAAGAATGTTAATGTATGTCAAGTAAATCAGAAAAAATCTATTCTGGCAATAGTTTAGTATAGAGATAGTATAGGGATAAGAGATCTAAACAAAAAAAAATTATGTTGCAGGAATTATTAAAAATAAGACCTAGAACATATTTAAATAAATTTATCTACAAGTTGACACTTTAAATCCTTAGATTTTGTGTACGTAGTAATTAGTGTTAATC